ATAAATTATTCATTTTACAGTATATTAATACCAAACATACAACTATTATATTGCATACTAATATAGATGACTGGGACTATTGGGAAACCTTCATAGAGAAATATTTTGAACATGTTTATATCCAAATGCTGCATGATTCCAGATCACATGATTGTGTACTATTCAAATCAGGGCTGTTCAACATTCAAATCGGGAATTTGTGCTGTTCAAATCAGTGCATTTCACACCATTCAAATTGAGACTTTGTTGTTCAAATCTGGACTGTGCACTATTCAAATCTGGACTGTGCACTATTCAAATCAGACCATTTGCCATTTGAATTGGGACAGTTATTAAATTCAGGACTGTTCACTATTCAAATAATGTCAGTCCACCATTTAAATCCATACTGTGTGCCATTCAAATCAGAATTTTCCGCCATTCAAATCAGGTCAGTACACTATTCAAACTGAGATGTCACCATTCAAATCACGACTGCCTGCCATTCAACATGTAATCAGATGGGGGTTAGCTCATTTTTTGTTTTAATTCCTTTTCAGAAAAAGCTAATAATAGGATGATTGAGCAGGAAGAGATGGAGGCTAAACTACTTGCAGCTGCTATGGAAGCAAGATCAAGAAAGAAGAAAAAAGTTTTAAAGAAAAGAAAGCATAAACGAGCAAGCACTCACACATCTTAAGTTTATTCTACCTGGAGCCTCATTTTTAAATCTGACTTACTGCTTGATATTAGGATTGTGTGATTGACTTCTCAATGTACAATATAGTTTAAATAATCAGTAACTTAGGGATATCTGAATACACAATGTAGTAAAGTCAAAACAATCAGTAACTTATGGAGTATCATTGCAGAGAAACTTCTGAATATACAAAATAGTATGAATAATCAGTAACTTATGGGATCTTGTTACCTGAATGTGTAGGAATACAGTAAAATGTATAAGGTTACATGTACCTCCATATGTCTTTCTAGGCTAATGGAAATTGTCCTCTTCTCTCTGCAGCACTGTAAATAAATGCCAGCTTTCCAAGTTGTTTTTTGCTGCTCTGTACAAATCAATGCTGACAATCACACAGCGGTATATAACTGTTTTGATGCAAACCGTCCATACTAATTAGCTCATTTGCATATAACAGTTCCTTACTTCAGTTTTCAAATAAAACAAAGACATATCATCTTGAAATAAGAGCTAATTATTATAAAAATAAATTGATCAGAAAATAGATTCTCTGGTTCTCTGTTTTTAAGTACAAAACTGTAGGTTAAAAGTGAAAGCCAAAGAAATCAAACTTTTTCTTATGTATATATTTCTTGTACGATTATTTTCACATGTAAATTTTAATTTTGTTATATAGCATGTTATATTTCTTATTTTGTATTATTTTTTCAGCAATAGATCAGAATTTATTGTTTTAAAACGGAATATGTATTAAAAAAAAGCAATTTACAGTTCTGTTCTTCTCAGTATCAAGAATATAGGACAGCGAATATCACATTACTTTTGAACTTCCAGGATTAACACATCACCTATTCTACAGTATCAAATGTTCCAATGAAACATGCTTTTGTTTGATGCAAAATGTCTACCATTTCCCATGATGCATTGTGTGAACCACAATATTAATATTCAAGATACTGAGAATTTTTAAACATTTTAAAGTTACATTCACACTTTGCAAATCTATTGATGTACCATCCAGTGACCAATATATACACCAACGTAACGTAACAAGAAATTGCAGATTAGGTATTTATAATTAAGTTGTTTTAGTTTAATTTTAGCAAAAATAACATTATTTTTTTATACATTTTTGTTTTCATCTTTTTCTGGGAGTGATTTTTCACAAATTTGCAAAGTGCGAATGCAAAATTAATTATTTGAATGACAAGGTACCATTCATAAAATAAAAACCACATATTTTTCATCAAGATTATTTTGCAAATAGGAAAAAAACAGGTGAAATGATGGCACTGAAAGGTCCAACTGATGTGTACATAAAAAAGGTGGGGAGTGGGGATGTTTTGGTGCTGTGCTATTGGTTTGTGCATATCTTTCATTCTGTCTGTGCGTGTGTGAGCAAAAACTTATTTCATGAAAATTCTAAATTTCAATTAATTAGCTAATTTGCATACTAATTAATATTTGCATGTCAAATCACCAATTTAACCATAATAAACATGGTAACATGATGAAGTGTGATCATCGAGTAGTAATGGTATGTATACTCTCTATTGATACAAAAACGCAAATAATAAAGCAATTCAATTTCTCTGGCTGACAGGTACTAAAAAACAACACATTTGAACAACCCTTGGGCATGCCTGGTCAATGCCCATGGATTTGAGTCTGTGGCACTTTCACCCATCGCTAGGGTCGACATCTTATTAATGTTCAATTGCAAGTAGTATCTGAACTCTGTTGCAATCAGATATTTTATGTGCATCCAAACACATTTATTTACACACATTTGAATGCATGTGGCTACAACAACCACTGTCCTCTATCATTAAAGTTGACTCTTATCACTGTATGAATAAAATGTTTCACAAAGACAAAACATAATGAGATAGCTACTTTTCAATTACATTTGTGTTCAACACTTACTACTATGAGGGCTGGGACTTTCTATCATAAAATTCAAATACTTCCCTTGAATGTTTGCAACATGCATCAGATTTTGTAAATACGTGTTGTTTATAATCATCATGCATGAGCCTCAAACTGTTCCTGAAGTACTTTGACATCCAGATTCTTAATAGGGTAACAAGGACAGTCAGATTGATGCCATTTTTATCCCACATTTTTTAATTAATGTAATTCTGTGGAATCCACTTCATGCATATGGCGTAATATGTTAACTTGTTCATGCTGTGCATATACAAACAGCAAATGGGAAATCTATTTTTATTTGTACAACCCGAATGTTCACTTACTTGGGATCATAACAAAGTAATTTTGGATTGTGTGCTTTAAATATTTGCATAAATCCTAGGTCAAGTTTGGCATGCTTTTTAATTTCTTGTTGTCTCTTCATCTTTCTGATGTTTGTCAAAAAGATAATAATACACACTCTAGCCATGCATAATAAATGTAGGTTCTTGCTGACTAATAAGGTGCGTTTTTAATAAATAATATCAATGTATGCTTAATAACTTATGATTATAGTGTCAAGAGTGTAGAGTACATACAGATTGTGTTATTTTGTTTTTAATGATTGTAAGATTTTACCATAAAATTTGTTATTGTATGATATTCACATGAATTTATATTCTTATATTTCTGAAAGTACAATACAGTAATTTAAAGTTTACTCATTTGTCACAATTGTTATCAGTCCAAATTAAGACAAATTTTGAAAATGGACACTTATGACTTAATCCTTGTGAATCCATATGTACCTTGTACCTGGGCTGATCCTCTTCAAATTTAAGACATAGCTATGTGTGCACAGGCACTGATTTTTTGATCCAATCAAATATGGCCAACTGTCAGCCATTATTGTTTCCAAGAATGCACTAAAATAGACCTAAGACAATTTGTTTCAAACTTGGTATGTACCTGTTGGGTGGCTGTTTTAATTGTATATGTATATTTTGATTGATGTATATTTTTGACTGCTGGCCATTAACAAAAATGCACTGAAATAGGCTTAGGATTCAGACTTGGTAATTACCGGTAGTTTTTTGTTGTTGGGTGAGTGATGTGTGTTTGGTCTAGCAATTTTAGTTCTTGAAAATCACAATTTCAACGCTTTAAAATTTGATATGCTGAGTTACTAATGTACGTTGTGTTGGTTTATGTTTCAATTCTTGGTTTTAAATTTCTGCAGTCATTTCTCAGACATGTTTTTAACTGATATGGTTCAAAGTGACATACTGTAAAGGGGGAAATTATTCACTGTGTTTTAATTTAGCTTATTTCGCTGACTGGAAAAATGCGCTAAATTAAAACACAGTGAATATGTAAAATTTAGCATAGAACACATTATCTAAATGACGAAACCATGAATTTAAAACCCACTGAATATGCCTGAAATGGTAAATCAGTGAAATTTAAACCCAGTGAAAATTAGTAATTTTACAGTATTTCCACATTTTCTTCCCAATCAATCCTAATTTCAATGCTTCATATATTTTTTGCATAAACATAAATCACTTTTCTTCGGATTTTGTATGATAGTACATGCAGGGTCACTGGTGGTGGTCATTTTGTTTTTTTACATTTCCAGAAAAGGATGTTTTTTGACCAATGGGGGATAACCTTTATGAGAATTTGGAAATTTAACTGATAATTCCATGTTCTTCATACCTGAAACATGTTTGACTCTATGTTCTTCATATCTGAAACATGTTCAGCTCTATGTTCTTCATATCTGAAACATGTTCAGCTCTATGTTCTTCATATCTGAAACGTGTTCAGCTCTATGTTCTTCATATCTGAAACGTGTTCAGCTCTATGTTCTTCATATCTGAAACATGTTCAGCTCTATGTTCTTCATATCTGAAACATGTTCGACTCTATGTTCTTCATATCTGAAACATGTTCGACTCTATGTTCTTCATATCTGAAACATGTTCGACTCTATGTTCTTCATATCTGAAACATGTTTGACTCTATGTTCTTCATATCTGAAACATGTTTGACTCTATGTTCTTCATATCTGAAACATGTTCGACTCTATGTTCTTCATATCTGAAACATGTTCGACTCTATGTTCTTCATATCTGAAACATGTTCGACTCTATGTTCTTCATATCTGAAACATGTTCGACTCTATGTTCTTCATATCTGAAACATGTTCGACTCTATGTTCTTCATATCTGAAACATGTTCGACTCTGTTCTTCATATCTGAAACATGTTCGACTCTATGTTCTTCATATCTGAAACATGTTCGACTCTATGTTCTTCATATCTGAAACGTGTTCCACTCTATGTTCTTCATATCAGAAAACATGTTTGACTCTATGTTCATCATATCTGAAACACGTTCGATCTTCTTTGATTTTTGATTTGGCACCTTTATGGTTTTTGAAATGCATTTTGAAATTTTCGGAACCAGATCTTACATGTGTGTCATTATCAAACTCATTGAAAGTATGAAATTTATTAACTCACTAATTACTTGATGTAAAGTAGTAAACAACCCTTTATTGCAAACTTTATTGCACATTTTGGGATATTTCAGAAACAGGCTATTAATTGGTTCCCGGTTTGTGCACATTGCTACAATCGCAACTATTGCTGATTTGAAAAGTTTCAAGATGCAATACGAACGAAAATGTAACCATTGTTTTCTGTTGCAACACTTTGTGTAAATGTAGTCATTTTGTTAAAAAAACTGTCTCGTATTGCATGCAATATTGCCGTTCCATTCTTACTGGTGGTCAGACTAATATCGTTGTTCGATACACTACATACTGTATAATGTAGACCAAATTAGACAAGTATTAATCATGAACTAAAAAAAATTCCATTGTTCCAACAGCGTGTCAAGTTCATGATAAGCCATAGTCTAATGTAATCTTCAACATACATATCCGAAAACAATACTAAAAATTGCATCTTGCCGTCCATATTACATCTTTAATTGCTGTAGGTAATCGTACCCTTGTCTTCCCATGAGCCTTTGCAAACTATGTCTGGATAAGGATATGTTACAGTCAACTTTGTTGTTTTTTTCTTGTCAGAAGCT